GGAGTGGAAATGCCAACGAATACCTAGGGAGGCCAACCGCTTGTGAAATTCACACTTGTCAACTCGGGACAGCCACTCTTGCAGCTCGTTCGATGCGCCCACGAAGTTGGAACCGTTGTCGGATTAGATGTTGGTCGGGACCCCGCGTTTGCCGATCAATCTTTGAAGCGCTATTAGCCAAGATTCAGTGGACAGGTTGTGCACCATCTCCAAATGCACTGCGCGAGGTTACTTGCAAGTAAATAGGCACCCATACAGCTTCGCAAACGATCGCCCATACTTCACTACTAGGGGCCCAAAATAATCCACTCCCGTCTCCGCAAACGGCCAGCAACTCGCTCGAATCCTGAGTTTGGGTAGGGGCCATCAGTTACTTTCTGTCTACGGCACTCTATCGACGACAAAACATACATCTGCCCATCGTCCTCTTTATTTTGGGTCCTACATCGTATTATCCAAAACCTTTTTCGGGCAGCGTTCAACAGATGGTTAGTGCCCGCGTGCCCGTTTCGTACGTTAAGGTAGCGTATAAGCAAAGTGATGACATGGTTGAGGCCGGCAGGATGATCGGAAGTTGAGTTGCAAATACCGAGGAAAAGCTGTCTACTCTCCCTCCAACGCGTAGCAACCCTTCGACCAGAATAGGGTTAAGTCTACGCAGAAAGCTCCGTTGTATCGAGGTCTTATTTGGGTTCGCTCGTGTATACTCTTTCAACACTGTCGTTTACAGGGGTAAGTGCTGTTGTTGTACTAGTCTCATGAAGTTGCTCTCGGCTCCAGTTGGATCGTCTGTCGATAAGGGTCCTCCATTCAGCGATTCTTCGAGCCGAGAACCGGTCATGATCATCACCAGGGATTTAAACCTCGTCCACCAATTGACTGAACGAATCAGTTCAGTTCAGTTTCCACAGGACGAAAATGGCTCTTTCCAATCGAGCGTCCAGTTTGTTGTGTTGTTGGTGGATGGTAGTAGCTTCCAACAATGCGTACAGTTGATTGGGTGTTCGTAATCCTCTCAATTTAACCCCGTTGTCAGAACGTTGACTCCTTAAAGGTATGCTGAAAGGGAGGAAAACAAGCAAGGATATCTCCTCGCCTCATTGGTTGGACACCTCAAGTACACATGCATTCGTATACACAGATCACATGTGACAGGAGAGTCAGTTTAAAAATAATTCTAACAATCAAGCCCGAGTTCGCACTATTTCAACGCTACCGGCTAAAGTATAATTTATTCCTTATTTTCCCACTCTAAATATTAACTTCGGGGAACGTTGCTGACCAACATGCGTCCAGGGCCACCCTAAAGGTGTTAACATTGGTGCAGTTGATCACTTCTGCAGGTAACCTGTTCCACATAAGTATGACCCTGTGTGCGAAGAAGTGTGCCCGTATTTCCAACCTGGCGTGGTTCTGCTAAAGTTTATAGCCATGACCTCTCGTGTTCTGAGCACGAGAAATCGTAAACAAGCCGTCTAGGTTGAGTCCCGATAGACCTCTTACAATTTTGAAAGTCTCTATCAGATCTCCCCTCACTCTTCTACACTCCAGCGAAGAGATCAAGATCTCTCAACCGTTGCTCATAGCTCTGTAGTGAAAAAGATACTACATATACAAATGATAAAGGAATAAACGGTACATGGAACAGACTGACAGAAGGATGGTC